ATGCATATATATGTACTTTTGTTTTATTGAGGGTTTATACTCTGCCTATTAAGGATATATACACATGAGATTAGAGACAGGAAACAAAACAAACAAACAAAACAAACAAACAAAGCAAACAAAACAAACAAAGCAAACAAAACAAACAAAGCAAACAAAACAATGAAAACAGAAACAGAGAAGCAGCGGAGTGCATGCATACACCTAAAATTATTAAACCCCTAAGTGCATGCAGACAGAAAAAGCGAATTACTTAAACCCTAATTATATGCAGAACAAAAAATATAAACTTAAAGACACCCTGATCCTCCTCCTTATGCAAACCCTAAACCCTAAACCCTAAACCCCAACCCCTAAGCACTGACCCCGAATCCCTAAACCCTAAACCCTAAACCCTACCCCGTAAACCCCTAAATTGAACTCCCCAAATCAAAACCCTAAACCCTAAACCCTAAACCCTTATATTATTACCTTGTGCGTAGATGCCAGTGAGTGTGGCTCTGACTAAGACGCAGAGAGCAGCACTAAGAGAAGAGCCAGTAAGAAGAACATTAATAAGAGATAAACAAAGACCTGCGTCTTCTGGAGGGGGCCCTGATAGTTGAGAGAAGACGAAACCCGCTATTACAGTTGCTTGAGATGCAATAATCCAGCAATTGCTTGCAAACCAATCAAGCTCTCTTTTTCTTATTTCAATATCTTCTTTACTTGCCTCCGTAACTAAGGCATTTTTCAAGATAGACAGCATCTTCGACCCCTTAAATTGATGGAAATCTTTATTTAAATCCAAATAATTCCTTCAATTTCAAAAATTTCACACAAATATCACACTAATTCGTCAGGTAACCACCATCAGGCATGCTCAAACGCTCGCTCGGGTGTACGTACACCGCAGAAAACAATAGTATTATTCAGAAAGAAGAAAAAATAAATAATTATTTAATATTTCCTCTCATTATTCAAAAAATAATCAAATAATTTTCAATCAGAAACGCAGAAATTATGCCGCAATACCTGCCGGTCCACAGTGGCCTACACCACCATAAACCCGAAACCCTAAACCCTAAACCCTAAACCCTAACGAAATCCAAGCTGTTCTGCTTATCTTGCGATCTTCTTTGCGTTTAAAATTTCAATAAAAAAGAAATAATAATTTTCCTCCTAGCTATCAATCTGCTCCCAACTCCAGCAGCAGCAGCAGCAGCAGCAGGACCAGTAGCAGCAGCAGCTGCTGCTGCTGCTGCTAGTCTTCACAGTGCTAGGGCATTTTGTCTTTGTCTGTACACTGCAGCGGAGTTTAATTGATTTTAATAGAGTATTTTATGTCTCTTCTCACTGAAGGCTAACAAACAAAGACAAGAAAATTCAACAATGAGACAGAAGTCAAGATGAAAGTACAGAAAAATAACGAAAGACAGCAACAATGCCATATGATATATATCTCTGTATATATATATATATGTATATATATATATATGCATATATATGTATATATATGTATATGTATATGTATATTTGTATACTGATATACGCATATATGTATATATATGTATGTATGTATATTGATAATATATATATATAATATATATATATATATATATATATATGCATTATATAGATCTATACATATATGCATACATACGCACATATATAGATTTATAGAATGCATGTACATTTATATATATTATATATATATGTATATATGTATATATATATATATATGTTATGCCTCATTCTCGAGCTACACCATCCTCTGAGCGCCTTCAGGGAGCCTTGTTCCTCCTCTGGCTATCCGTGGCTAGCTATAGCTAGCTGAGTCTATCTGGGGCTAGCTACAGCTAGCTACAGCTAGCTAGGGGTAGGTATGAGTAGCTACAACTAACTACAGCTAGCTCCAGCTAGCTAGGGGTAGGCAAGAGTAGCTACAGCTAGCTGTAATATAACTAGCTACGGCTAGCTGTAGCTAACAATAGCTAGCTATGACTAGCCATCACGTTGCAGCGGATGTAGACTGCAGCAGCAGCAAAAAAAAGAGATAAACTGAGAGACAAAGAAGAAGAGACAAATAAAAACAAACAAAGAAGACAAGGTGTACAGACAGTTCAGAAAAAACGAAGAAAAAATTCAGCAAACTCCATAGTAAATAACAATACAAAGCCTAATGCTGCTGCTGCTGCTGTTGCTGCTGCTGCTGCTGCTGTTGCTGCTGCTGCTGCTGCTGCTGCATGGCTTCCTTCTCGCCATCCCTTTGCTACAGCTGCAGCGCACAAAGAGAGACGCGATGACCGCAGCAAGCAGCACTTTGCTTCAAATCGGGCACTGCTGCTGCTGCTCATCCTCTGTTGCTGCTGCTGTTGCTGCTGTTGCTGATGCTGTTGTTGTTGCTGCTGCTGTCGGGTGCCCTATGGCGTTCAAGAATGCCTTCAGCTGCTCGTAGAATGTGTTCTTTTGCTGCTGCTGCAGCTGCTGCTGCCGGTGTTGCTGCTGCTGCTGTCGTTGC